CATACGCACACACATACTACACACAATAAAAAACAAAAGAAATGTGAAAGTGATTACAATAGTTCCTATTGCATTACATGCATAGGAACTAAAAAAGGAAAAATCCCTAAAAATAACCTAAGCTAAATTACTCTTTACGCAAATGATGTTAGTATAGAAGACATCTGATCTAGCCATTTACAGTAGAACCAAAGAGTATGGAATTGCGAAGGGTCCGACTTCACTGATTTTGTGTGCACGCAACGAATGTAAAAAAAAAAGTATTGCCACGAGATGGGGCGCCCTATAAACAGAGTTCGCTCGAAGCTCATCTTTAAAGGACACGCTTCTTCGTAGCAGTACTTTCTGAAATAGGATTACGCACCAACAAAACCATGAGAGTCGGACCTCTTGTTCTTGGTAGAACCGGATACTTCCTAAATTTGCTTATATGTGTTTATGGTGCTATGCAACAAACTTTATATGAACATTATTTACTATGACTTCCTAGCTACAAACTGTAAGTTTTAATTACTATGTGGGGTGAACAAAACATGGTAACGGTTGAGTGGTATAATATGAATGAATATTTATATATATATTAATATAGTATATAATTTGGTCTCTATAAATGTATATAGCTTGATATATACATATATATGAAGATGATGTGTCCATGTATGTGTGCATTTAGTCTGTTTGGTGATTCCGAGTTTTTTTCCATATACATTTAAATCACTATATCAAAATACTATACTATATAGTATATATAGTTTCTAGTATTTACTTTCAGTTATAAAATCATTTAATCTTGAATATCTTGAAATATAACTGAACTTCTTGATACAATTAACAATGAAAGAAGGTAGCTTACCTTAGCAGCGATTTCAATACAGTATTGATTTACTAAAGTCCACTTTTCAAAACAATGCCTCAGATTTTCTTACCTCAATGTTTAATTGCTATTTTCTCCCTCTGCCATCCCACCCCACAAGAACAACAACCAAAACTGCAACATTAATTGACAATGTATTTTCCAATAATCTTACCGACACAACACATCCTGACATACTGCTTTCAGATATATCTGGTCACTATTCTGTCTTTTCGTTAATGCATAGTACTGTACTAGTACTTCTAACACTGCAGTTAAACAAATATATTTACTTATCAAAGATTGACTAAACTTCAATGTCCAACCTAAACATTCCAATATTCATTCCTACTTTACATGCTTTTCTGCGACTAACTTCCAAACCAAAATGCGCTCGTCTAAATTCATATCACATTTTATTATATATCTTGAACCCAAGTTATGGAAAAATATATCATTGGACAAGAAACAAAAAATCTCTATTGCTAGTTTTCAAATGCAAATATAAACAATCTATGCTTCAGGTATATGGTACACAAACATTTTACACAAACAATGTAAAAACTAAGCTTTTTCTTCCTTTACTCCTGTTGATATTGTTTTCTTTATACTTTTGTGACTGGTCATGCCTTAAGGTTTTCTTTAAAATTATTATGACCACCATTCACACGATAACCTTGTATCATTTAGAATTTTGTTAATTTTAACTAGAATTTTTAATTACTTTTTGTAATTTGTAATTTGATTATGATTGTTTATTGTATGTATATATTTTTATCGTGTGATAAAATAAATGAAACGAAATTAAACGAAAAATATTATTAATATGCAATTAATCAACAGGGTATTTAAGAATATATTTTGAGTAATATGCTTACATTTTTGCATTCAGTTTCATATCTTATTTTGGTGGTATGTCTGTCTAAATATAATAAAAGTAGAACAAGGAAATATATTTGTTTAAATAATACACCCTGAAAAAAAATCAATCATATGCCGGAGACCCTCAATGATGTTTAGTCCATCAGGTCTATCAATTCCTGTTAGCCATTCAATTTTTGGCTGACTAGTTTTCTCTCCAGTACCACCTCCTTCCAAGGTTGTCTTCAAGATTCTGCATCTCATGCTCTAACCACTATAATCACTGCCATTACTACCATGAATAAATATTAAAATAAATTCCCCAAGCCTGGAACTGACAAGGTTAAAATTTTAAATGAACAATAAACTAGGAATTCTACATTGCCATGACATCGCTTTTTAGTCTTCATAAATTTTAATTTTACTTTTCTCTCTTTGAACAGTATATGCATTTCAATTTGATATTTGTATTTTCATATTCCCTGTATAACGACAGACGTCAGGATTTATTGAAAACCATGCAAACTCGCTAAACATGCATGAGATATATTATGCCAATAGTTAAGTTCCAATTTAAGGTGAATCATAACAAGAAAAAATGCCTTATTTATGTGTGGCTAGGTGTTTGACTTGTTGAATGTAAGAACATCTTCAAATTTATATAGATCATGTATGGATATTTTTCACAAATACTTTTGTTGAAATAAAAAAGTAAACAGTTATAATGTCTATGGGTATGAGTATTTCACCTCAACTGATAATATTACCACCAACAGTATCACTAAATGGTCTTTTTCTTCTTTTTCTAGCTTTCTAAAAACTGTCCATCAAGAGTATTCTTCTTTCTCTACTCCCCTTCCCCTAAACCTTTCCTCTCAGTGCAAGATTCTCAAAGCCCCTTTACAAACCAGATGCACCACAAAATTTAATGTACAGTTACATATTAGTTCCTTTTCACACTAGTTATTCTCAACAATTCTTTATTGCCCAGTCAAAGGGATCCTCATCACTCTTTAAAAAATCCTTATTATTTCACACCACAAAAAACAACATATTATTACCAAAAAATACAGAATGGAAGGAGATCCAATTCTCCTGATTTAGCAAGAATACCCACATATAGGTCAACAATTTCAAAAGCCATTATCTACACAATGTGTGTATTCGAAACA